AAACAATTCACCGGAATTAAGTTTTCTTATTTGTTATTGTATAGAGTGTGATTTTTCCTTTTTAGATATATAATACAATCTGAATAGGGACTATAGTATCAAATTGAAATTATTGAATTATTTTGTTAAAGAATTTTTATTTCTAAGAAGGGAAGTTCAACCCCTTCATATCTCAAAGAAAACCTGTTGCAACTGCACCTATTTCATTTTCAGAAGAGTTCTTTTATTAAGAGAACTCTTTGTTGGTTTTTTTCAATGAGAAAGATAACAGTGTACAGGGATATTGAAATTTTTTAAAAATTAAAATAAGCATCTATCGAAAAACGACTTTTTACTTAATTTATTATTGTGGTTTGGATAAAAAGCTAACGCCAAAGCTGAATGAAGAATTCCTTTCGTTAGCACTTTACTGCAATAAAAGTCCGCAGATATTGCAATCGCGATGGCACTTAAGATTATTCGGTGGTGGTATAACAGCTTATTTGTAAAAAAAACATAATCGAGAAACCTGTCATACAAACGAATATTGCGTACGGTGTTCTTCAAAGAGATTTATTTGCATTTATACTACTGGAAACAATACGGTAATATAGCAAGAATTCGAATGAGTGATTAGCGGAAACTTTTGACTGATGTATTAGTCGGTCGGTCGTTTTAAGCATTTTACTGTAACACTATACGGCATAACAATTGCCGTATATTTCTTTTGAACGTCATCCATATGCATCTGTTAGACGAATAGACCGTTAACTGTCTGAAGTTGTTCCATATCGTACGGTTTTTGCTCTTTTGTCTTTATAGATAAAACATGTTCATCGATACCATAAATGGAGTGGAATGTCTCTAGAAGAACTATATAATCTTGAAACAATATTACCATTTCAAAATTATTGTTATACGTAAAACCGCTTTATCTGCGTTTTTTAGGCCTTGTATCTGTTCGAGTAATTTATAAGCTAAGGACGAGTTCACACTTATTGTAGTCGTCTTTATAATTACACTGACAAAAAAATGTGGGGTGAAATTTATAGCCGTACGCCTATTTTCGTATGCTTGTCTTGTAGTGTTATTTTTCTCTGAGGAACCCATTATATCTATTGACAACTTATTAATACTAATTGAATATTTTAGCTATAAATAGCCTTTAAAGACTCCTATATCGTACGATTAATTTGATTTATGACCGAATTTCAATATAAGAAATTAGAAATTTAATCGCCACTTCAACCTGTTACAAATTCCGAACTATGTGCCAATATCATGGGCAGGTAAACTGGGTTGCAACACGCTTGGGCAAATCCTTGGATTGTCTACGAAAACGTTATTCGCTTCAGGCAGGATTGGTATTTTCCTGAATTACTCATGGATCATCAATCATTCTGGCCATTGTTAAAGAAATTCGATAATTAGTCAGATGCGATTACATGCACGAGCATAATATTTGCCTATAATTTTAAATTTAGTGATGTATCGCGGTATACTTTCACGCGGAATCATTAATCAAGGAATAAATTGTATCTTGCCAATACATTGTTGGTCCTGCTGATTCGAAAGCTCAAAGCTACCCGCAACAACAATACAAGGCATGCATATATCTCACACTGCATGTCGTAACTACACAAATACATCACGGTCTTTATAACATAACTAATCGCGGCCCCCCGACAAGAGATTGATATTTTTTTAATGTTCAGTACAGTCAACGCGCGTTTGTTTTGCTATGATGTGCCCTGACCCTTATCACCTGCTGAGCTCCACGTTCGTGGGCTACTCTCAGTATATGGTATGTCCGTTTATAGAGAACATCGTGTACCGCCAGATTGAGTTAGATTGTTATTTGACTTTGATTATCTTACGGGCGCAATTTACGCAAAGAATTCCTGCTTGATTTGCTCTTCCACGAAATTATTGCAATGATCTCATCCTCACCTCTCAGTTCAATTTCTCTTTCTGTGTGTGTGTGGATGAAATTTATGGATGACTTGACTAATAACGTGTTCAAAGAAAAAATGTTTATTGGCTTGTAAACAATTTCCTCATCAATTATTTGTCGTCAAAAAATGTCTTTCTACTCTCTGTGAGGTGTATTTTAATTAAACTATTATTTGTACAGGTTAGAAAAACCAACAAATATTCTTGTCAGCGGTGATCAATAACGTTGATTGATTATATGTTGACAACGTTACCCTAATAGAACGTCCGCTATTTTAATGAGAAAAAAACGGTCAGTTTTTGTGTAATCGCGATCCCTAATTTAATTATCGGTCAAATTTACGGCAACGCATGGAAGCATAATTAGTGAAATTGAGTTGCGTGAAGTTTTACGAATTAGATAAAATATTAATCCAGAATAAGATGATTAAGTACGTGGTGACCGTTGACGAATTACCTTGTCATCTTAGCCAACGAGACGTGAAAAAATTTAATATATCTTCAACTATAAGGCAGACCCTGAAATTCTACAAATGTATAAAGCTTATTAATAAAAATTTGATATAAATGGCAATTTTTACTAGGACAATCCGTCTTGTCATATTATTAAAAAGAGTCATTCATTTTCGATCTTCTCACACTAACTTTGTTTCTAAATAATACTTTGTTTTTGGAGACCTTAGTAACGTTTCTTAATGTTCATTTGAAATGCAAATTTTGTAGCAAAACAATTGCAAAAAAGTTAACTTTGCATTTATGCGAACTTCAGTTGTTTATTCAAAGTCAGAGTCAGAGATACTTCCTGAAATGTTTTGTTGTTCGCAATGTCGTCCACAGAGCTCATCCAAATTGGAAGCTGTTTGATACACCTGCCCTGAAATGAAATAGTGCAGAAGTTCGATGATGTTGCGGTATTTTTAAAATCTCGCATTAAAAGGCAAAGTTGAGCTAATTTGTTTATGGTATACGAGAAACAGAAGGAGCAATGAATAGATCAAGAAAAAAAGAGAGAGGAGTAATTGCTGTATCTAGACTCTAGAGGATTGATTACAGAATTGTAGTGAAGGACCAGAAATCCTAGAGAAGAAAGGACCATGGTAAGAGGATAACCAATAGACAGAGCCATTGAAGGATAAAGAAGGAGTAATTTTTCTACTATGGACTGTATCTCGGAAAGAGGAAGAATTTTCTATTTGCACATCCCCAGAACAAAAAAAAGAGGATGGAAGTAAGGGAGAAACGAAAGAGGGCCAAAACGCGCAATGTAGGGAAATTCGAAATAGTGAATTTAGACTATAAAGTGACCATTTCTTTCTCTCTCACACTTTTTTGTTTTTCCGCGATGTATTATAAACGCGCGACATAGACCATCGGGAGAGGGCGGGCGGCTTTACTAACTGATCTCATCGGGTTACAAGCAGTGGCGTAGCGCGGTACGCCCCGGGCGCCACTTTAGTAGGGACGGCAGCGTCATACCTGCCAATAATATCCCGGGGCGCTTTTGAAAATAGCTAAAAGTAGGAAACGATAAAAAACATCTTGGGAAAATACATTTAAATTTTTATTTCGTACGCAACGACGATGACCATCGATGGACTTGAAGATGCTTTATCTGACAAGAACTGAGACGAAAATACATGACGAAGACACTTCTGGTGTACATACAAAAGTTTAAACTGCTGTTCTCAATATACTCCAATCTTTTAAACAATGTCTATGAAGCAATAATTCAAATATCATTATTGTTTTTGTTTCGACTTTATTTTCACTCGGGTGAAAATATAGGGCGGCAAACCTTGACCGCGCCCCGGGCGCCAAACCTGGACCACGCCCCGGGCGCCAACGAACTACGCTACGCCACTGGTTACAAGTGTTGCTTATACAGCTTATACTATTACGTCATTGCGTGACTGGTACCATGGTATGTGTTTATACAGGAGACCGGGGCTAGTTGTCACATGGGCACATTGTCACAACGCTAATTAAAGGAACACACTCAAACTTGCACGGTTGTGACATCTACCGGATAGTGCCTTAGTAAGCTGAGAATCGCATCACGGAGTTTTACCGCCATCCGATTCTCAATACTTCATCAATTGTTAAAAGTGTGTTTGAAGCTTGGCAAAGTAAATTCGTGCTACGTTCAATATTGTGTGTTAATATAGGGATTTTAATGGCAAGGTAAGATATAAGTTATTTGTCATTTAGTGTAGCTCTTGTGGATTAAACAGTACCATCATAACAATGATTTCGGTTAATAGTAACAGAGATTACATCACTTCAGTTAAAAATGGCCGTTTGGGGCAAGTTGTCACGCGTTCCACGGGGCATGTTGTCACTGTGACAAGATGCCCCGTAAACAGTACAAAGTTGGAATGGTAATCAATGCATACTAAAGTGCGCCCATTCGTAGATTCATAGATTATGATTTTGTCTAACTTTACTTCTATAGGTATGCATGTACTTACCCATGTATAAAAAAACGCGCCTTTTTTATAGATGGTGCGAAAGTATCAAAGAAAAACAAATAGAACTGCTCCCGCTGATGACGTTCTTCTTAGCGCCGCTAGAGCCGTTAAAGATAAGGACCATCCAATTTCAATAAGGGATGCGGCTAGAGATTACAATATAAATTATAGAACTTTGGCAAGATTTTGTAAAAAGGTCAATAATGATAATCTCGCTAATGGCGTGCCTCATATTCGGATGGGGTATAAAAAACCTCGACAAATTTTTAATGATGAAGAAGAGGTAGAATTGGAGAATTATATTAAAAAAGCATCCGACATATATTTCGGTTTAACGGCCACCGAAGTGAGGAAACTGGCCTATGACTATGGACTTGCTCTGAAAAAAACCTGCCTCCGTCCTGGTGCAATACCTTCATGGCAGGGTCTGATTGGTTTTCTGGGTTTTTAAAGAGGCACCAAAGGCTATCAATAAGAACCCCGCAGGCTACAAGTTTGTCGAGAGCAACAAGCTTTAACAAAACTAATGTCGCATCTTTTTTTGAAAATTTGAGCAACTTATATGATCGTTACCAGTTTCGGCCAAGTGACATATACAACATGGACGAAACGGGAATCACCACCGTGCAACGTCCTGATCGCATAGTAGCTAGGAAGGGATTCCGCCAAATTGGTTCGTTGACTTCTGCTGAAAGGGGGACACTTGTGACCATGGCCATAGCAGTATCTGCTGCCGGAAATAGTATTCCTCCTTTATTTGTATTCCCTCGCGTGCATTTTAAAGATCATTTTCTGCAAGGTGCACCTGTGGGAAGCATTGGAACAGCTAACCCATCGGGTTGGATGAAAAATGAGCAATTCTTGACGTTCGTACAACATTTAGTAACTACAGTAAAAAGTACGAAGGAAAGCCCAATTTTATTGTTGCTAGATAACCACGAGTCACACCTGTCCATCCCGGCTTTGAACTATGCGAAAGATAATGGGGTGGTAATGCTATCGTTTCCACCCCATTGCAGTCATAAGCTGCAACCGCTTGACAGGAGCGTTTTTGGTCCATTAAAAAAATATATAAATAGTGGTTGTGCATCGTGGTTAAAAACGAATCCAGGAAAGACCATTAGCATATACAATATTCCAGCAATTGTAGCAGCTGCTCTTCCACTAGCAATTGTTCCTAACAACGTTACAGCAGGCTTCAGAGTAACTGGAGTTTATCCGTTTAACAGAGATATTTTTGAGGACCAAGAGTTTCTGCCCAGTTACGTTACCGACCGCGAAAATCCAACGACGGCACCTGACAAATTGTTAGAACATCAAAAAGAAAACACCGACAACACGGCTGTTCCTCACATTGGACCATCCACATCTGGCCCATTATCATCTCCACTGTTTACTGAACCGCCATTTATACAATCTACTGAAGTAATTCCTGTAACTTCTGCCCCATCACCACCTACACCGTCTACCCCACCTCCACTTTTAACCTCTACTCACGCAACGCCATCAACTTCTTCTCAGTCGTCATTGTCTATTCAACCTACTTCATTTGCTGTGTCTAAGACGAACCATTTGATTACTCCGGAAACCATTCGTCCACTTCCAAAAGCCGGAGAGAGAAAACCTGGAAGACAACAAAGAAGAAAACGTAAATCAGCCATTTTAACTGATACGCCGATAAAAAATGAACTTGAAGCACAACAAGCCTTAAAAGCCCAAACTAAACCATCAGTGGTAAAACGAAAGGTTTTTGTTGGGAAAGTCCATGTATCCACCAAAAAGAAACGGGTGAAGAAACCTTTGTCCGATTCATTCTCTGAGGAAGATGAAACCTTCTGCCTAGTGTGTGGCGGCACCTACAGTGGTTCAAAAGACCCATGGCTGCAGTGTGTCCAATGCAAGGAATGGGCTCACGAGAAGTGCGCCAATAAAGATCCATTCTACGTCTGTCAAAACTGTGACTCGAATGATGATATGTAAACATATTGTGTATTTTGGTTTTTAAATATATTTTCATATTTGTAGCTGTTTGAGTTATCCTTTAACACGTGACAACTTACCCCAATGCTTGTGACAACTTGCCCCGGTGTGGGGCATCTTGTCACACATATCATGCACTTACACAACATTACAATACTCCAAACATTTTTCATATTTTGCAATTTTGTAACTCTTATCATAAGTACTAGACACGCAACTACGTTATTTAAAAAATAAATGGTTTGTACAATTACAAACAACAACAAAAAAAAATCAAATGCATATTTTGTGACAACTAGCCCCGGTCTCCCCTAAGTACAATGCTAGCACATATAAAAACGGTTAGTACCGATATCTCGGATACTTTTATCTAATAAAGTATAAAAAAATAAAATTAAAATAAATATATTTAAAAATCCTACGCTCATTTTATTCACTCTGACGCTCTTGAATACTTAAGGAATGCGACAGAAGAATTAACACCCGCGTGAAGTTAGCCCCCCAACATTAAAATAATGAAACGTCAAATACTGCCTTCATTTGCACATCGATTGCACATTTTGGCACACGTCGATTTTTCGTTTGCACATTTCTCTAAAAAAAGATATTGAAAAAACAAATTGGGGGGGGGGCAACTTCACGATTTTAGCTCCCCAACATTAAAATAATGAAACGTTAAATAGTAATAATAGTAAATGTGCAATCGAAGTGCAAACTATTTGACGTTTCAATAGTTTAATGTAGGGGGGGGGGGGGGCAAACATCGTGAAGTTGGGCTCCCCAAATTTGTTATTTCAATATCTTTTTTTTAGAGAAATGTGCAAACGTAAAAATCGAAATGTAACTAAATGTGCAATCAATGTGCAAACGAAAAAACTATTTGACGTTTCATTAGTTTAATGTAGGGGGGGGGGGGCTAAAATCGTGAAGTTGGGTTCCCCAAATTTGTTATTTCAGTATCTTTTTTAGAGAAATGTGCAAACGGAAAATCGAAATGTGACTAAATGTGGGAATAAGGAAGATTTGAAGAGCATCAATATATTCATACATTACGAGTTGACTTTCGAGAAGAATGAAGAAACCAATGCATGAAAACACTACTGCAAATAATAGTGTCAATAGTCATCTTGAGAATATACGTTGAATCTATGTTAAGTTTGTCTGATGTGTTAAGGGTATTAAGGATATACACCCCATTGGGCGAAGAAGAGAGGTTCACAAAGGAAAACAATAATAATAATAATAGTCATTTACCTATTGGATAACGTACAAAAGAAACAATACATAATTCTATTGAATATTAAACTAAATTTATTACGTTATACCCTCGGTTATACCAAAAGGGCGAAGTTCAGATATGTAGTGCAAACTAAATTCTGTTCTACCACTTAACCCTATTAATAATTTATTGTGATAAGTCAGATAATGGCAAATAATTATTCAACATGGAACCTAGTGAATGTACTTGTCCGAATATAGAAAGAAAAATGACAGTGATAGTATTTTTTAAAACAGAATAAAACTGAAAATAAAAATAAAATAAAACATATTATCTCAAATGCGTTTGTTGCTGCTCTAGAAGTATTAATTTAAGGTTTTCTCTGAAGTGTTTTTGGGAACAGGAGTGTAAATGACAGCAAAGGGAGTTGTAGATTTACGGTGCATTGTAGCTAAAAGACCTTTGATAAAGGACAGTTTATAAATTGATATAAGGTGCTTTGTTCTAGTATTAAGATTATGTAAATTATGTCTAAATTGAATTTTTTCGTACAGATACGGAGGGAATTTATGGGAAATAATTTTATGAATAAAACATGCATAGTTTAGCTTTATACGATTGGACATATTGAAATTTCGATCAATTTATGCGATATTCTATCGTATTTTCTCAGGCCAAATATTATTAAATTTTTGTTAAATTGTCTTAATGACTATTGACTTTATTGGTATCACTGGAAAGCATTTTTCAGTAGCTTTGTGTCACAAGTATGAGATTGCCATTTAGGATTTTTGAAGAGGGCGGGGGCTGGGTGGTTCTCACTCATGACGTCATTCTGGTTCCATCTCGATACCCCCGAAACGGTTTTGCGCGATTTTCAATATCTTCTTTAGTTTGCAAAATATGGCCGACTGCAAGTTTTAAAATTGACACCCTGTATGTACGGTATTTATATTATTTATGTGTACCATATTTGGTTCTAATGGGTTCAGCTGATCAATAAGCATTACCTAAATTGGGATCTGCGTTAAAGAGTTATATAGACTAGTGGAGAGGGCAGAAAGAAAGTAGAATAAAGAAATACACAAAGTGAACTATTCAAGGGAATCCTCTTAAAGAGACTACACGAGAGAATATGAAGCAATAAACCCTAGAATTGTTAGAATAGAACTACGTTAAGGGTGACACATATCTGTGTGCAATTGGGGATGTATACTATAGGATAAGGAGCAAGTGCTACAAGCAAGAACAACGAGCAATAAAGTCTACAATCGTGTAGGAATTGAAGTGAAAGAGAAAAATAAGATGGAAAACGGACAGCAAAGTAAGGAAATGCTATTGCAAGATACTCAAAGGAACAGCGAAGAGCCCTAGAGGCGGATGACGGAATTGACTGATTGTCAAGACAGTCGCAGATTCGTTACCCAATGGCAGGGCCCCTGGATCATACCAAATACCGGCGAGCGTTGTGAAAGCGATAGCAGCCTATCGTCCAGGTATATGGGCAAAACATCGCCAACGAGATGATGAGGACGGGCAGAAAAGGAGCCGGCTAACTCTGATTCCCAAGGGTGGAGGAAGCTACCCGCCCTATTTGCCTCCTGGTCTATGCAGGTAAAGTGCTAGAAAAGATAGTGAAGGCAAGGATCGAAGACGAGGTATGCGATAAGCTATCTCCAAACAATTAAGATTCAGAATAGGGAAGTTCACAGGTGATGATTTAATGTTAATTGTCGATAGTGTGGAGGCGGTTACTAAAGGCACCAGGAGGGCTGGAGAAGTCTGCCTGCTGGCGTCATTGGGAGTTAAAAATACCTTTAACTCAGCGAATAGAAGAACCGTTGTGAATGCGCTGGTTGAACTTAATGTGCCGGATTATCTGGGGAGGGCTGTGGAGGACTACCTCATAAATTGAGTCGTTTACGCATTGAAACCGTCAGATGGGAAATACGGGAGTGCCTCAAGGATCGGTCCTCGGGCCCCTTTTGTGGATCGTGATGTACGATGGGGTACTGAGGATACCAATCGCGAATGGGATAGAACTGGTAACGACCTCACGGCAGTAGTGCGCAACGAGAGAAAACCAGACTCGCAATAATAACTGTGAAGCGGAGGATAGACTCGACTACCCTGGAAATGATGGGACAGAGGATACCTCTAGAACCGACGATTAAGGTCCTTGGGTTATGAATCGACAAAAATCTGCCCATTAAGCCCCACGTCACGGTATAACTTGCTAGAAAGCCGTGAGATGCCACGCGGGGCTGTACAGGATCATCCCCAATGTTGGGGATGTCAGGGCTTTGCGACGGAAATATATTGGCCACGTGCCCAACGAGAATAAAGAGACTATCCCCCAGTCCAGTCACCGAACACCGCGCAACAACCTAATGCAAATGGGAAGATGTTCACCTCCGACACCATCCCCCGTAAAATAAGCACCCTGTAAAATTGAAGATGTAAAGTGGCCTAAGACGTTATGGAAATAAGCCACCCACGCTGCAGAAAACAAAATAAAAATACCCATAACAAGGAATACTAGAATTACACAATTGATTTACAGGTCCGGATATGCCTTTACCGTGTCAACCTCTGCTTTGCTCGCCTCCTAATCAATATTCAAATGTTGACGAAAGACCTAGAAACTGTGGGATTACAAAAACAGGTCGGTATATTGGCAACAAAGGTGCTAAATACCTGGTGGACTTTCCACATATCCTAAATGACTTCCAGTAGATTAAACACAAAATGCGGTTTCAATTTGCATAATATCAAACAAAATTTCCCAATGTATTTGCGACAAGTGGAATTGGTACACTAATGATCGGCTTCCTGTACGATCAATTCTGTCAGCCGCAATTTCCACACTTCTACGAAAATCTGCAACGTTAACAATATAAAATCTAGCCGTTTAGACAAGAATTGCTCGAAGTCAGACCGGAACAGTAAGATTATTGAATTGACATGGAATCGTTAGTTCGTGACGAGAATGTACTAGACTTTTACCTTGCCCTCAGATATTGCAATAATAGGGGGGTCATGCCGCATTTCAGCATAGGCATTAGGCAAGATTAATAGGTATTTAATAAAGGACGTGTCTGTGCGAAAAAAGGTGATTGCTATGTAATGTATGTATTTCAGCATCTGCGCTCTCATCCTTAACTGGATGAAGTTAGAACAAACGCCACAGGACAACGTTCCGACAACATTTCGAACAAGTTCTAATAATGCTAACGTATACCGTAATTGGCTACCTGTTATTATATAATTGGACAATGCCAGTATCAGCTATTAACGACGAGACTGTTGAATGTATGTTTGTTTTTGATTAATACTTGAAGAATTTCAATTTTAAATTCTAATGTTTCAACCGATTTAGGTATATAACGTGTAATTGGCGACGCATTACGGTACACTGAACCTAAAACAAAACCAAACATTTTACGTACCATTAGGTTATTATAAATACATTACATTACCCATTCGCTACTTTTTCCACACGCGCATCTTTTTCGATTGAGAAATTTTCCGCCATTATCATTTTTGTTATTTTGTATAATAAAGTCATCACTAAATCCATTTGGCGCATTACTCAAAGAAAAAGGTAAGCCGTATCCGAGAATATATGATGTCGATTAATTATTTGAGAAAGTCGTCTCCTTATGTGGCCTTTACGTTCAATATTTTATCTACGCACACAACTGTATTCTCTTCATGTTGCTATTAATTTATGATTCAGGAGGAATTAGAAATTCGAGTCAACCTTTTTTTGGTAGCGCTG